CTTCTTATTTAATTAATCCATTACACTTAACCTTCCAGTATTTTACTCTCTGTAAGTCTTGCAACCATTATTATCACTATACAAATATGTTTTGCATTATTAAATTTGAGAATTTAGTACTCAATAAAATTCTCCACAGGAATATTGTTATTAAATGAGTTCATTAAACCTAACCACACTAATTAACAGCCAAGTGTTGGGGAACATTCAGACAAAAGTGGACTATATTCCATCTTCATAACCTCTTTGTTAATTCTAGCAAATGAACATAAGCAATCTCAGGAAAAAAATTCCAGGAAGGTTATAGAAACCACACATACCTCAGTGGAAATGAGCTCCTCCAAAATGAATGTCCAGGCTTGTCTGAAACTTACTCCTCATCACATCATCTATCAGTAATTTTCAATTAAGTGTACAATGGGGTCTAGCTCCTCCCTCCCTTATGCCTGTGATGACATGACTGGAAATGTAGGGCATTTTAATTCTATGACTAATAACCAGTCTCAGCTGGCCACAACCCAGCATCTTCAGAGGGCTCCTACAATAAAATCTTCAACCTCTACTATGAGGATGATCTTGTAACCACAAGAAAAAAAGAAATGAATCCCAAGGAGAGGAATGTCAAGAGATTTTAATGTATAACAAATACCTACAGCCCCCTGCCCTTGCCCTTATTCCCTGTAGTGGAAGCTGGGTTGCAGCACCACACCCCTCTTTACGGACTGAAGCATGTGTTCTCTCAGCTGCCAGCAGGGTTGGCTGCTGAAGGCTTATGGCTGAGTCCCTTCCTGGGAACTGCTTTCTGTGAGAGGAAGACACTTATGCCCCTTCCCCAGAGACACTCCATATCCAATGACTGATACGAGGCTACAGAGGCCTAGCCTTCTTGCCTCAACTCTTGGCTATGCTGAAGGACCATCTTATTTCCAGAACTTCCTGTAAGATCAGCTGAGACATCTCCTGTAAATGTGTCACAGTTCAGCTTCTCCATGTGCCTAATTCTGCTTCCTTCACTCCCTCACAGGTGTTGTTCACAAGTGTACTCCTAGGGAACCCAGCTTAAGGCCTCCCCTTCTCAAGAACCCAATCTCAAGGAAGAATTTAAGGGGAAACCTATCTACATAATTTGACATTCTGTAAAGGAGTAAGTTGGACTTTTTAGTTTAAGGGTTCAATTCCTCACAGTCCAAAAGACATTAAATAAAAGGTAGGCATCTTAATAGGACTGTCTTTGAAGCCCCTAGGTTCATTTATCTAAGAACAAGATTTACTTATCTGGCTGAATTGTTTCTCAGTCTAGCTAATAACCTAGACCTATTAAGGTAATAATGTTGGCTTAGAATGTATACTTCTAATCACACTGTATCTGAGAATCCCACTATCCATGAGCTCTCCTTCACTGAGGAAATGGGACAAAAACTTTACGTATAGTCTTTCTGAGGGGGAGCACTATACACTGAGTTGTGTTCCCCTTCCCAGATTCATATGCTGAAGCTCTAACCGCCAATGTGACTCTATCTGGAGTCAGGGTCTTTAGGAGGTAATTAATGTGAAATGAGGTCATAAAGGTGGGGTCCTAATCCAATTGGACTGTAGCCTTATATGAACACACACACACACACACACACACACACACACACACACACACAGAGAGAGAGAGAGAGAGAGAGAGAGAGAGAGAGAGAGAGATCTTTCTGTCTGTGCCATGTGAGAACACAGGGAGAAGGTGGCTGTCTGCAAGCCAGGGAGAGAGCACATTAGCCAGCATCAGCCAGCGTTTTAATCTTGGATCTCCTAACCTCCAGAACCAAGAAAAACAGAAATTACTATTATTTAAACCACCTAGTCTATGGTGCTTTGTTGTGGCAGCCGGGGCTGACTAATATAGGGGGTGAAGGGACATGTTATGCAAGTAAACTAAAGCACTGTCTTATTCCTCACAAATGCCTCACTTGTTTTCCTTTTTAGCCCTGCATCACTCCTTTTTCTCAATCTCTTTTCTTCAGGTCATTTTCTCCCCTCATTCAGTGTTAGTGCCTTTGACTCAACAGTGGTATACATATTTTCAGGCCCTGGCTAGAGCAGTTGGTGGTGTTCTGTTCAGGGTTTCAGAGGCTGCTGGGTCATGGCCTAAAGTTTATTCCAAGAAATTCTGAAGGCACTCCATATCATGAGGAGAATTTGGAAATAAGGTGGCCAAGAATTAAATTACCAAACATATAAGCAAATGAATGAACAAAGAAACCAACACAGTGAACAACATTAGTAACATATAGTTGTAAAATGTCCTATGAGATAATCCTGTAGGTGGGAAAACACTAAAACCTCATCGAGGTCACATCTTTGTACATTCCAGCCTGAAATGCAATCACAACAGTCACTAAGCAACTGCCAGGAGAGCTCATGAGTTCACAGATAGAGGAAACCATTGGGATTAGCCACAGATTGCCCTTCTGGATCCAAGCAACCTTCTGGTTAGAACTTGGTTGCGTGTTTCTCTTCCCCACTTGGGAGTGAGAGAGTATGTGTGACTCTGTTAATACATGTGTTCCATTGCACTTGGTAGTCATTTTTTCACCACTAAATTGGAAAATTGGTAGCCTGGAATGTACATCAGTCTTTTATAAGTTTTATTAACATGAGTTAGCTCCAATGAGCTAGGTCATCCCTGATGGAATGCTAACATCTAATTTTGGACCATGAAATTCCTAGTATGGCAGAGCACCAGGTAAAGTTCTTCCTATGTAGATAGTTGGCCTCCCTTAGTTATTTTAGGTAAGCTGGAGCTGTATTAAAGGGGAGCCTTGAATGCTGGATTTAAGATAGGCCTCTATTCTCTATACAACAAAGGTCCAGCCCTCTGAGGGATAAAGCATAAGTAAAATTCTATGTTGAGAAGATGACATTGGCAGTGTATGAAAGACAAGCTGCAAGCTAGAGAGTAAACAGGAAGGGCAGTAAACAGGCTGTTAGAACTGCTCAGGGTAAGGATTTGAAATGGTCTAGTGGGAATTAGTAAGCATGTATATGAGAGGCAAGGCAAAGAAAGAATCAGTAGGTCTTGCCAACTTTGTTTGTAGGACGTCATGGAAAAGTAACCTTTGGGGTCTGCGTGAGTGTGAAAAATAGAGATGAAAGAAGAAGCTGGTACAGAGGTCAGAGCATGCTAGTTGGAGAGTCAGCATGAAGAGACAGCAGAAGGAACTGATCATGAGGGCTTGTACTCTGAAGGGAAGCTGGGTTTTAGAAATAAGCTTAAGAGTTAATAGTGCAGGGTAAACTTACAGAAATGAGAATGAACACTGAGAGGGCACATGGAGAATGGAAAGGAGAGGAACCAAGCCTCGTGGAAAGTAAAACATGTATGGTAGGAAAAGCAATGGTTTAAGAAGGAAAGCAGCCAGTGGCAACAAAGAAGAATGAGGGAAACTGAGAGCCCTCTTAAGAGGTAGCTATGGTCTCAGAAGAGTAGGAAGTGAGATCATCTGCTGAGAGAGAAAGGAAGGGGAGGAGCTTGATGTAGTGAAAGGGCTGGAGGAGTTGTCCAGTTGATTATGGGAGAGAGTTGAGAAGAGGTGAAGAGATGGCTAACTGAACAGTGCTAAGGGCCTAACCAGATTAGTTGCATACACTGGGTGTATTAGTTTGCTAGGGCTGCCATGACAATATACCACAAACTGAGGGGCTTAAGACAACAGAAAGGTAGTGATTTACATTTCTGGAGGCCAGAAGTCTAAGATCGAGGAGTTGGCAGGGCCTTGCTCCCTCTGAGGGCATTAGGAAAGGCTCTGTTCCAGGTCTCTCTCCTGGGCACCAGTCATATTTGATTAGGGTCTTACCCTACTCCAGTATGATCTTAACTAATTACATCTGCAATGACTCTATTTCCAAACAAGTTCATATCCTGAGGAACAAGGGGCTAGGGCAGCTGCATATAAATGGGATGGGTGAAGGACTCCCTGGAGCATTAGAAAGCTAGAGGCAGAGATGCTGTTCAGGGACCCCTGATTTCTTCCTGCTCCTGCAACTGGCCATGAGGCTGTGGTCTTACTTTGAGGCTGTAGTTTAACAGCTAACAGTGTAGGCTCTGAGCTGGAGTGCTTGCGGTTTAAGCTTGGCTCTGCCATGTATTTGTCATGTGCCCAGAGACAAGAGACCTAAAATGACTTTACTCAATTTCACATCTATAAAATGGGAGTATCAATAGGACCCATCCCATAGGGTTGAGAACTAAACACATTAATAAATAGCATGCCTAATGAAGTTGTTAGTATTATCCTCATTTTATAGATAAGGAAACTGAGACATTTAGATTAACCAACTTGTGCAAGATCATCTAGTAGCAGAGTCAAAACCAGCCTACAGAAATCAAAAGTTCATGCTTTTCACTATCATGTTATCATCTTATATTGTTTCCAGTATTAGCTGATTCATTTGTCCATTAATTAGATATTAGCCTTTTTTTTGAGATGGAGTTTCGCTCTTGCTGCCCAGGCTGGAGCAATGGCGCCATCTCGGTTCTCTTGCAATCCCACCTCTTGGGTTCAAGCAATTCTCCCATCTCAGCCTCCCAAGTGGCTGGGATTACAAGTGCCTGCCACCACGCCTGGCTAATTTTTGTATTTTTAGTAGAGACGGGGTTTCATCGTATTGGTCAGGCTGGTCTCAAACTCCTGACCTCAGGTGATCTGCTCACCTTGGCCTCCTAAAGTGTTGGTATTACAGGCGTGAGCCACCATGCCTGGCCAGATATTAGCATTAAAATAAAAAGTTGATAAGGAAGAAGGAAAAATAAAACATTTTCCTTTGTCTGTCAAATTTTCTTCTGGGGGCACTGGGGAGCAAATTAGTTACAAAATCAATTAGGAGGAGAAGGATTAAAAATAAAGAGTTAAAAACAGGAATATAATTTCCAAGTGCTCTTTTCCAAATATTACCACTAGAGGGTTTGAACAAGAGAAAGACAGTAGAGATGAGAAAAATCAAAACTGAATAAACTAGATGTTAAGTCAGCTTCTATTTCTTCTTGTCTTTCCTCCCATTTTCTCCAGTTGCCATGCTACTCCTGAGGATCTAATACTGAAAGAAGCACATATGGGGCACAAGATTTCTAGCACTTTAAAGCTTAATGCTTTAAAAGTATGTTTTGAGGCTTCTTTAAAAGTTTATGGATCTTGTGCCGGGCTGGCGTCGGAGCCTGGGGCTGGCGTTGGAGCCTGAGGCTGCCTCCGAGAGTGCCAGCGAGCCCGCCGCCCAGCCCAAGCTCTTTCCCGCAGCCTCTGGCGCCTCGTCCCCGACCAGCCCCGCCCGACCCTCAGCCCGTCCCAGTCCCCTGACCCTCAGTCCGGCCCGGTTCAGCCTTCCAGCAGGGTCACGCAGCTGCCCCGGGGATGATGAAAGGAGGATAAATGGTGCTCAAGGCCAACAGCGGTGCCTTCCTGCTGCTTTTCCTGCTCATGCTGTCACAGGGCCACTGCGGCCAGTGGGGCCAGTCTGCTGAGACAGGCCCTGTGTCCAGCACCTGCTCCGGCTTACGCCCTGGAGGAGTAGGAGTCGCACAACTATCTCAGCCTTGGATTTGACTTTGGCCTCATTCACCTAGGGGCCACTGGAGAGCCATATGGGTTACCAAGTTCAAGGGGAGTGAGAAGAAACCAATGAAAATAGCCGCTCATCTGGGCCTGCCTTCATTCTCCCGCTGGACCGTTGACTTCTTCAGAGCTCGGCCTTGAAGCTGTGAGCTTCATTGCATTCCCTGGGCCGCAAGAAGTTCACTAGGCCCGGTTCTCTGGAAGCCATGGGGTGGGGGGCCCTTCCTCTGTCTCCCTGGTCGACTGCTCATTGGGGAAACCCGGGATCTCTGACTGCCTGGACATCGGTGTTTCCGCCCCCTTGGGTTTTGTCTCAGGCTGTGCCTGGGGCTGTGTCTCTCCCTCCGGCTCCAGCTTGTTGGCAGACCTCTTATCAGAGTCAGGTTCGGGGGTCCTCAAGGTTTCAGTTCCTCGGGAGCTCTCCCTGTCCTTGTTGGTGGTCACAGAGGGCAGTCCCCATGCCTTGGGCTGCATCCAGCAGTGGCTGAGGATCTCGTCGATGTGGAGCCGCCGGTTGACGTCTGGCTGCAGCATGCGGTAGATGAGGTCCTTGCACTCGCCTGTCAGGTGCTTGGAGCGTGGAAAGTTGACGCGGTGCTCCTTCCGTATACGCACCATCTTCCTAATGTTGGAGTCGTCGTAGGGCATGGAGCCGCAGACCATGATGTAGAGGATCATGCCCAGGCTCCAGATGTCATACACCTTGGGCTGGTAGGGGATGCCCTGTAGCACCTCAGGGGCTGCATAGGCTGGTGACCCGCAGAAGGTCTTGCTTAATGTCATTCGACCATTGTCGTCCCTCAGGCAGACAGCTTGATGTTGAAGTCCTTGTTGAGGAGAAGGTTGTCACACTTGAGGTCCCAGTGGATGAAATCCAGGTCGTGGCAGTACTTGATGGCCAAGGAGAGCTGGTGGAACTTCTTGCGAGCCTCGTCCTCGTGCGGGGCTCCCCGGGTTTTGATTAACTCGAGGAGGTCGCCCTGGACCGTGAGCTCCATGACAATGTAGACCTTACCATGTGATGTCTCAAAGATCTCATAGGTCTTGATGATGGAGCAGAGGTTTAACATGGCCAGAATCTCAAGTTCCCGGGGAAGGAATTTCTTCAAGAAGTCTGCGGGGGCTTTCTTGCGGTCGATGATCTTGATCGCCACGTTGGACTTCAGGCGCTCAGAGTAAGCGGATTTTACTTTTGCATAGGAGCCCTCTCCTAAATGTATCCCCAGGAGGTAGCCTCGTCGCTTGAGGACTGCAGCGTCCTCCATAATACTGGGAGTGCCCAGTGCCTCTGAGGCTGCCCTCTACAGCCCCAAGGGGCATGGGCCAGCAGTATGCTCATTTACGTCCTGGACAGAGTCCTTTGGGCTGGCCAGGCCTGCTGTTCCTGCCTCCTAGAACCCAAGACTCTGGGGTGGAACTTTGGCACTGTCTCCCAGGTGACTTCAGTGGGTGAAGTCACAAAGGAAGAGTGCCCTGTGGGAATGAGGCTCTGGCCTGAGGCACTTGGACCTGGAACCCTGAAGTCTGGCTGGTGGGCTGGAGGAGACAAGACAAGCAAAGAGTGGCCTCCCACCTGGCTGGGACCTGAGGTAGGAGGAGTTTTTGTGGGACACATGGGTCTGCCCATGCTCCAAATCCAGAGCCAGGACTGCTTGTGCAGAAGTAAGGCCAGTTCTTGCAAACCAGGGCATCTAAGGGGGGTTTAATAAAGGGACGATTAATAAAGGTGCGAGCAGAGTGTAGAGAACCCTGAGGGTAACACAGGCACCCGATGGTAGTAGCAGATCCCTGGCCTGCATGGAAAAGAGTGGGAATGGTCCCTGGAACCCAGAAAGAGTAGTGTAGACAGGGCTACCTTGAAAGAGGCAGTGCCCTTCAGTGGGTAGAAAGAGCCAGCTTTAGTGACCCTACAGGCTGGCAGCGGATGAGAGGAAGTCCCATTCCCGACCTCTTTTTCTTCCCTTCAGCCCTCGATGCTGTCCACACAGGACACAGGGATGCAGAGCAGGGCCAACAAGAGTGGTGTGTCAAAACAGTAGAGAGCCTTCTGACCATGGAGTGGCACAGTTTGAGAAGCATGGATTCTGCCCTCTTCCCATACCTCTCTTCCCTCATCTGAGCCTTTGCTGGCCTTACAGCAGCTTTGCGGGAGGACAGCCAGCAGGAGTTCTTGGCTGTGAGCTACCTCCTGGGGACCTTCCCTGTCCATGGCCCTGGCTGGTCTCCCAGGGCAGATCTGGGACTGGGGTCTGAAGGCGGGGCCTGGATGCCACCCTGAGCACTAGCAGCTGCTCAAAGGACATTATAAGCAGCAGGGGCAGCACTGGACAGCGACATCATTTCTGCTGGCCATGGAGCCTCTGCTGTGACTGGCTCTGTCTACAGCACCTGCTCCAGGCCACGTTCTGGGGGAGTAGGAGTCGCATAACTGTCCTAGCCTTGGGTTTGACTGTGGCGTCATCCACCTAGAGGGAGTGAGCACTCCTTCCTCACATGAACCAAGAGGAACCCTGGGCCCCTCAGGATTGAGTTGGTAGGGCTGGATGTCGCTTAGGCTGCATTGGGTCCCCACCAGCCATGGCCCTCCCTTTTCTCTGCTCTTTCACCTTCTTTCCCATCCCTGACTGCCCACTGCCAGTCCTTTGTGCGTGGTTGGTGCTCCTTCCTCCAGACAGCCTCCTTCTCCTTCCTGCTGGGGATACCCCAACTGCTGTCTCTTGGAAACCAAAATCAAAATTCTAAGCTCCCCAGCCATCTGAATGGACCCCACCTCTCACCCAAGGGCATTCCAAAGCTAGCCTGAAAAACTAGTCCAGGCTGTGATAGGAAGTGAGGGTCAGGCAGGCCTCATCATCCCTCCTCCCTTTAGGTTTCAGGCACAGCTGAGCAAGAATAACATCTATACAGAGACCCGAAGACAACAGACTCTGGTAGTAAGACACAGCAGGACCTGAAAGAAACTCAAGTGTTTTACTATAACACAGATTTCTTTGATGTATTTTGAAATGGCTCTGCAAATCTGTCTCTTGTGAGGAAAATCTATATTCTGTGAAGACTATCCTTCCCTTTCCAGGTCTTTTCTCCTGAGAGAATTAACTAGAGTCTGTTAAGAAACATTAACGGTGTGTTCTTTCTGAAGTCTGGTACCTGGAGGCTTCATCTGCCTAAGAACCTTGGTTTCCACAACCATTTTCCCAGAGACAGTCCCTCCTATTGATTCATTCCAGGGCTTTAGATAAACTCTTTGAGCCAATTGCCAATCAGAAAATCTTTGAATCCACCTGATCTGGAAGCCTCCCCCCCACTTTCAAGTTGTTGTTCCTTTTCCGATTGAACCAATGTACACCTTACATGTACTGACTGATGTCTCGTGCCTGCCTAAAATGTATAAAACCAAGTTGTAGCCCTACCCCCTTGGCACTTATTGTCAGGATCTCCTGGGGCTGTCCCAGGCCATTGGTCACATATTGGTTCAAAAGAAACCTCTTTTAAAAAAAGGTTTATCTCTATTGCTGTCTACAATGAAAAATATCCAAAGTTACATTTACTCTTTGTAATTAAACAGCTAAAAAATTTATTTTGGTTTCAATGTTGTTGGTTTTTTTTTTTTTTTTTTTTAACCTAGTTATCCTTCTAAGACAATAGGGAAAGACAAGCAGAGGCAAACGCTAAAGAGAGCAGGGAAGACAGCTTCTGGCAAATTGGGCTTTCTCATCTGTGCGTCCCCTGGCTGCCCTCAGCACAGAGCTTTACACACAAACACTGGCTGAGTGACTGATCATGGCAAAGAAAGGGAGAGAAAAAAAAATTTATTTTCCTTCATTGCTCCCTTACACCTGTTATGTTCTATGTCTTCCAAGGATAAAGACAATGAGATATGAGGTATTCACTCAAAATGATAAATAATTTCTTTGGGATTATGTAGAAATAATTACATCTAAAATCCTAAACTGATAGGATCATTGAATATTTATTTGCATGTTATAAAAATCTGGGCCACAGATGATACACATACACTCACACATATATATAGACATACAGAACACCTGGAGATGAAGCAGAAATAGTGCTGCACTTGGATGATATCTGTTTTGGCTCAAAATTCCCTGACCTGTATTCTAAAATCTAGTCTGCAGTCTCTCCCACACCTTTTGTCTTTTGCTTCTTTAGATGTTTTAAATTCCAAAGGCTCCTTATCTACATTGCAGGTAGTTGAGTTATTCTAAAACCCTGACCAAGGTATTTTATTATTGATTTGGTTGCTCTTGGGTGTTGAGTGAATAGGTAAATATATGCTGTGCGGAGAATTCTGGCAGGAGTGGTAAGGGGCTCCGGCTCTCGGCTTCACACCTCAGGTCTGCTCTTTCAGTGCTATGTGGGATTATCTTTGGGTATCATTCCATAGGTTGGGAAGGCATTCTAAAATTGATGCTGCAGCTGTCAATATCATCAGTCTACGGGACCTAGTGACAGAGCAAGCAGAACTGAGAATCTGGGGAAAAAAGCAGTTTTCTAATGCGGAATGCACAAGAGGAGAGCCAATCTTTGGTCCTATGGCTCTGACAACTCATTTTGTGACCTTAGGCAAATGATCCGTGTTTCTTGCCCCTAGCTTTTTTATTTTTGGGTTGGAGGGCAGTCTTTAACTAGAAATTGTTAAGGTTCTACAAAATGACACATACACTTTGTGATTCTATATCTAAAGACATGTTATCAAGGGTTCTATCTGCCATATGGTGAGGTGCAGGAGCTGAGGTAGTTAAGAAAATCAGACATGGAGCAGATAAATCTGGTTTTAAATTCCAGGGGCCACACCTTATTAGCACAGTGTGACTCTTGGAAAGTAATGTCATCTGTAAAATAGACGAAGGTATCTAATTTACCTAGTTATCTTACAGAGGCAATAGGAAAAGTATATAAGAAAAAAGGAATGCAAAATAGGTATGCACTTTACAGTGATTGTGAGGATTAGACATGGTGATTCCTGGTATATTACCTCTTATGACATCGAAATTGTCTAAAGCACAGGCATTCTACTCCATTAGACCCAAGTTATGTACAAAATAATATTCAGTATAATATAGATCTATTTTACCTCAGAATATCCCAGAAGGGATCCTGTAAACAATTTTCTAGTATCTGTTAAATACTTTTCTTAACACTATTAACCACTATAGGGAATCTAAAAACACTATGATATGGCCTCATCTTCTAAAAATTTTATATTTAGTTGAAGAAATCACTAGAATATAGATACAAATGTCATAATATATAAAATATTAAACTTAAGAAGACTTTTTACAGTACTGAAATTGCCTAAGCTAATGGGAGAGAAGAAATCAGAGGGCTGGGGTTGCCCAGGAAGGTGTTAGAGCTTCCTTGGATAGGATCTCCTGGCTAGGAGGTGACCCAGATCGGGTATGGAGGTGGTGTCTTCTAAGAGCACAGTTCCTGAAACCAAAGGACACCAGGAACAAAACAATGCAGGGACAAAGTCTGAGCTAAGGAAACAAAATTTGAAAACCAGGTTGAAAACTTCAAGAGATCAGATAGAAAAGTTTCCATGGTTTAATTTGGAAAAGGTGTAAGGAGCCCAGATTGCTGACCAGTTAGGCCGGCCAAAGCTGGAGCATGGGGCGTAAGCCCGGTGGTAAAAGGTAGGCTCAGAGTGAAGTGTGTCAGTCAAGTCCTAGACCTGGTTGTGAAGGCATGGTGAGTGCATTTCAAGTGGCTCACAAAGGATAACCAGAGGGTTTCAAGGAGATGATGAGACACACGAGGCCTTGAAACAAAGCTACATGTACATAGGTGAGATAGGAAAGGGAAATGGCATTGGAACAAAACACAGAGAAATGAATGAATATGGCCAAGAACAAACCTTTATTGATGGCATATGCCTCAGAAGAGATAGAGGTGAATATAACATGGTAGGTACCCTCAGAAGGTCTCTCAGTGTCCTGGCCTATCTCACAACTGGAAGCATTAGGAAGCAAAATCCAATGGCCAGTCATCAGTATTCTGCGAGAGACTCACATCACTGAAGATAGATGAGGAGGCAAAATCCTAGGCTGTGGCAGTTAATCCTAGGCTGTGACAGTTAATAACTGATTCAATCTCTTTCAGCCTCAGTACACATATTTGTAAAATAGTGACTATAATAGTTTCTAGCTCATGGGATTGTTGCAAGGAGCCAAAAAAGATAATGATATATAATGCTTAGCAAAAGGCTAGCACACAGTGGCTACCGAACAAGTGTCAGCTTTTATTATTATTATTAATGGTTATTTTGTTTTATTTTTACAGAGTTTTGCTCTGTTCCCCACACTAAAGTGCAGTGGCATGACCATACCTCACTTTAGCCTCAACCTCTTGGCCTTAAGAGATCCTCCCACCTCAGCCTCCCAAAGTACTGGGATTACAGGCTTGAGCCACTGTGACTGACCTATTAGTGCTCATTTTACCACATCTGAGCTATCATTGCCGCCTTAGTGCATACCCTCATCTCTTCTCACCCAGTTGCTATGATAGTGCCCTTACTGGTCTCTCTACTTCCACTCTGGCATCTCTCCTCATTGCAGTCCAGTGCTCTTTATTAAAGATCAATCAGGATATTTTATTCCCTTGCTTAAAATTCTTGAGATTTTTGAGGCCCTTAGAAAAAGTAGAAGTTCCTTCAGAATCTGAGGTCATTTATCATCTGGACCCTGCTACTGTCTCCTGGCTCTCTCAGATACTCCACTTCAGCTACACCTTCCATTCAGCCCAAGGCAGACCCAGGACACCTTGATTTCATTTTGCCACGGACAGACCACTCTATAGTGTAGTTCATTTAATTCCGAACAAGTGTTCCCATGGTAAATGTTGCATCTGATTGGTCCTTGGAGTCTCAATGCACAATGCTCTATAGATCCTCAATAGATATTTATTTAAAGAAAACAAACAAAAAAGTAAAGATGAAATGAAAGGAGAAAGAGAGGAAGGGAGAGGAGGAGAGAAAGAAGGAATGGAAGGAATAAGGAGGGAGGGAAAAAACAAGGGGTGAGAAAGAAAAACAAAGGTAGAAAGAATTATGTCTATATCCTTTAAGGGAACAGGTAAGAAACTCATTTTCAGTAGATCCATTGACAAATTAAGAAAGAAGAGGAGGAAGAAGAAACAGGAAAAAGAGAAGGAAAAAAGGGAAATCAGGGATTATATCAGAAGTTTAATAATGCATATAATTACTATGGCTGACAATGAAAGATACCATCTGACCTTAATATTAATGCTGGAATCAGAGTGTGAAAGGGATGACTGTAATCCCAACTACATGGGAGGCTGTGTATGTGTTCATAGCATTAATGTGTATTTGTTCATAGCATTTCCCTCCTTTCTACCCCCATCCCCACTGTGTATTTGCAGATTAGGTTAATAGGGCAGATAAATAAACAAGAAAGACAGATGCAGAATTAGAAAAAAACAAGTTCTGGCAAGGTGTGCTGGCTTATGCCTGTAATCCTAGTACTTTGGGAAGCCGAGGTGGGCAGATGACTTGAAGTCACAAGTTTGAGACCAGCCTGGACAACCCCTATTAAAAATACAAAAATTAGCCAGGTGTGGTGGCAGGCACCTGTAATCCAAGCTACTTGGGAGGCTGAGGCAGGAGAATCTCTTGAACCTAGGAGGCGGAGGTTATAGTGAGCTGAGATGGCACCACTGCACTCTAGCCTGGGTGACAGAACGAGACTCTGTCTCAAAAAAAGATTTAAAAAAAACAGAAAGAAAGAAAAGGCTGGGCATTGTGGCTCACACCTGTAATCCCAGCACTTTGGGGGGCTGAGGCAGGTGGATCATGAGGTCAGGAGTTCAAGATCAGCCTGGCCAAGATGGTGAAACCCAGTCTACTAAAACTACAAAAATTAGCCAGGTGCTGTGGCATGTGCCTGTAATGCCAGCTACTAGGGAGGCTGAGGCAGGAGAATCACTTGAACCTGGCGGTAGAGGTTGCAGTAAGC